CACACACTCCTGCCAAAAAAACAGAGTAAAGCAACCCAGAAAATTCAAGCCGCACTTCAGATGATTTCATTTCTATAGTATTCTACAAATGAAAAAAAAAAATAAGTCATAGAAGAGATTAGTGGTGGGCAAGGGTTAGGGCTAAGGGAGAGGTGGCAGTCATAACAAAGAAATGGACACAAAGGTCCGATGGTTTATCTTCACTGTATTAATCCTAGCATCCTGCTAGAAATACTGCTTGAAATTGGGTAAAGGATATAAGGGCTCAGTATTGTAAGTGTACTGATTAAAAAAAAAAAGAGTCAAGAGGAAAGACTACCAAAAAACCTCCAAAACCCACATTATTGACAAAAACAAATATTGGGAGCATCCAGCAGCAGGCAGCGTCCTGTATACTTCTGCTGGCCTGCAATCCATTCTGACCACCTCACTCCCCACATACTCATCAGCGGTACATACGCAATCTGGGCACAGCTACAGACTGGACCCAAGGCAGCAGACGCTGGCTGAAGGGCTGGAACCCAGAGCGGTGTAAGTATCTCAGCATGGCAAGACGAGGTCACAGATCCAAACACCTGCGGGAAGAATTTTTTAAAGGGGGAGGGGAGTCAGGAAAAATGCTAGACAACACATTACATTCTCCTCTGTTTCTCCTTCTCTTAGCGTAAAACTGTGACTCACGTGATTTAAACTTTGTTATATTAGAGAAACGACCACCTCCTCAGTGTTACAGGAATAGAAAAAAGAACAAAGAGCTTCCTTCCCTCCCTCCCCCCGTTTTTTTAAAGAACTGCTTTACTTTTTATATACCAAACAGTAATTAGATACAATGAATATTTTGAATGATAAAATATTTTTAAGATATAATGTTTGGATGTCAGTATTAAATCTTCGTTATATTTCCTTTCCTGGTAAGGGTTCTCTAATGATTAACAAATCCATCCTCAACAGCAGCCCGCCACTGTCTCCCAACTGAATGTGGAGACTCGCAGAACTGAAATGTCAGCTTGGTTCTTGCCAGCACAAGAGGAAAGGTGGGGGGCAGGGTGCAGGGGAGGGGTCCTGGTTGCGGCAGGAATCTAAGGTAAACTCTGGAGGTCAGGGGTGTAATGTTTGTAAATGGCTAGCATCTTATTATTGCACTTATTATTATGAATGTAAGTGTGTGATCTCAACAGTGAGGATGTAGTGGCCATGAAAAAATTTTCTTATCCTGGGTCAAACCTAAGGTTTTAGACAACGAATGTCCCACACATAGACACACAAAAACCCAGTAGAGGACTCACTCATTCTTGTAAGCACATCGACAAGTCCATTGTTACTGAGCTCTTATGCTATAAGGCCACTGGGGTTTCACAAGATAAGAAAAATAACTGCATTTCCTTTAAGTTGTGCTTCATAGACTGGGGGATATATTCCAAATCCTATGTGTGTATATGTGTGTGGTGGTGGTTAGGGTACCTGCAAACATGGAGGTCAATTCAAGTGTCTTGTTCTATCTCGGTCCACCTGTTTTTTGTTTGTTTTTGAGATCAAATCTCTGAATGAACCCAGAGCTTGCTGTTTTGGTCGGGCTGGTGAGCCAGTGAACCCCTGCTTGTCTCCTTCCCCTAGCTCTGGTGTATCACCACACCCAGAGTTTACACGGGTGCTCGGGATCCGAACTCAGGTCCTCACGCTGGCACGGCAAGCACTTTCCCCACTCAACCATTTCCTCGGGCCCCCGAATCCACAGCAATGCACCGTTCTACAGTTATTCTGCACGGAAGCGCAGACGTGAAGAGGAGATGGCGGCAGGCTGATGAGTGCACGCGGTGAGGGACGGCTAATAGTGACATACTCCTGGTGGCAGCCCCTTTGCACCGTCCTCTGCAGTTCTAGCAGTCAAAGCTGAACAGAATCCTCTAGGTGAGCCGGTTCAGGCACTGTTGCTCTCCACCAATGAGTTATCAACTTCCCTTTGGTGCAGGGAACACAGGATGGGGAACACGGCTTTAGAGCTGTGCAGACTTGGGTGTTAGCTCTATCCTGGCCAGGGGTATGACTTTTGGAGGTTTACTTGGAACTTTGTAAGCCTCAATTTCCTCGTCTGTAAATGAGGGATAATAACGGTTAGGACAGCATGAGATCACTATGGGAATTAGACCAGGCAATGCATGGAAAGCGCCTGGGTACACGGGTAAGGCTCACGTCTGTCTCCCTCCTCTGCCTTTTAAAAGGCACAGACACGTCTTCAGCTTCCCACTTTTTATTCCCTTCAGCGACACAAAAAGGTCAAAAGAGCCACTGGTGGGCAGCTGAGCATGGCACCATACTCCTGTAATCCCAGCAGTTGGGGGTAAGGAGAGGCAAAAAGATCAGAAAGTCAAGGTCATTCTCAGCACGTAGCCAGTTCGAGGCCAGCCTGAGCTCTATAGCACCCTGGCTCAGAACAGAACCTGATCTAATCACATACATGTTTCTAGATTGTTTCCCCCGTCTTGTCTAAGTACAGAAAGCTCTGAATGTCTGAGATCCATTAAGTCATCGGGTCTTCCCTTGTACCTTGTCTCGTCTCTGTCCCCTGCAGGTAGCCTGTTCTTTCAGTGCAATGGACTGGTTCAACCTGGCAGTTTACTGTGCCAGCAAAAACCAGACAAGAGATATAAAGGCCCAAAGTGTGACCGAGACGTTTTTACATTTTAACTCAGAACATCTCTCAAGTACCTATCCACAACTACACTGAAAGCTCTTATCTCACTTAGAGAAGTGAACTTCAGTCTCAACAAACCACCCAGAAAAAAACACATGCTGAGTTCATGGTTCAGTACTTAACAAAAAGACAAAAGCCCAAAGATAAATGCCCCTGCTTCAGAGGGTGGGGGAATAAAGCTGGGGTGAGGAGTGATGAGTGAAAATTCTGAGGGCACCCTGTTTGTGCCATGAGATAATTTACCGCACGCAGGGGCTCTTGGGGTAACCCTGGCTGCAGGGAGTATCAACCAAGCACAGGCCCCATATGTCAGGGCGTGAGCACAGACAACTGCAGACCCAGGCCGTGGGGGTGTGCCGGCGGCTCATAACATACCAGGCGTATCACTACTCGCAGCGCTGGGGCACTGGAAGCCGGTTCGGGATCTGGGTGAGAAGGGGCTGCAGGGTCTTCAGGCCTCCACCTGGTCGCGTACCCAAAAGATCGCCAGATACCCGGGGCCTCCTATGCCCCGCACTGGGAGCCGTGCACCAGCATCTCAGAGCACCTGGGTGCCCCCAAGCCGCCACCACCCGCGACCCGCTCCCATCCCCTCCCCCGTGGATGCGCCACGCGTCTCCTCCACGCCCCGAGTGCACCCTGGCCCAGTGTCACCCGCTCGCCTACCTGCTAGCAGCCGACCCCAGTCCCGGCCCACTCTCCGCGCCGGGTGCCCTGGCCTCCGCCTTTTCTTCCGTCTACGTCCCCGCTCTCCGGCGTTGCGTCAGCCGCGTTACAGTGAACCCCGGCCGCGGCGCCAGCGCCGTTGACGTTAGGCGACGGGTCCGACCCGAGCTACGCCGCGGCGACGGCGCAGGCGCTTCTGAGAATCGCGCCCACGCTCCACGTGGCGGCCCCCTCCCACCCCCAAGCGCCCAAAGAGTATAGGGGCGGGGCTCCGGCACCCAGACAGGAGCCGGCCCAGGCAGCTTCCCAGCCAGGTGGAGAAGGGGGTTGGCTCCCAGTTGCTGATGGAGTTGGTAAAAAATGTTTGGCAGGCTCGCCTGAAAAATAGATTGGATCAATTAAGACCCTCGGCCCCCCCAAAAAAGAACAAACAAAAACTGGCGGTTGAAAACAAATGGCACCATAATAAAATAAGTTGGCACCTAGTTATCCGGAAATAACAGCCCAAGTGTTTTCCGCAAAGGCAGTGGTAAGAATACTGCATTTTAAAAGTGTGTTTAATCTCTAATAACTGATTATTCCAAAGCTGAATGTGTCAAGAGCACAAGCTGTCTTCTTCCCAGCTGGCTGTTCTCCTCACATCGCACATAGGCACACTGTGGTTGGAAGTTGGTGCTTTGTGCTTTTGTGGTCCTGACAAGTCTGCTGAACCCATTCATTCATTTTCTCATTCACTAAAGGGGGCTTACGGCCGCTTCAGTCGCCCCCAGAATTGACCCTCCCCCTCCCCCCGTGCCAAAAAGAAACTTGACTGTTGACAGCATCCTTGTTTAGCTGGATGCAGTTCCTGCAATCCCAGCATTCCAGAGGCAGAGGTCAGTTTCCCATTTCCTAACCGCCAATCTATTAGAAAAGAGTCTTAAAGTCCCTGTTTCCTGCTTCTTTCCCACAGGTGAACCAGAATCTCCAGAGGCAGGGCTCAGTCTGTGTTTTATCTTAAAGAACCCCAGCAGGTTTTTGGGAACCTATTTCCCATGCTGGTTTGCCTTGCACAGCCTTGATGCAGGGGGAGGGGCTTGGTTCTGCATCAACTTGTTGCACTATGCTTTGACTCCAATGGGAGGCCAGTTCCTTTCAGAACCCAGCTGTAGGAGTGGGTGGGGGAGAAGGAAAAGGGGAGACTGGGGGAGGGAGCGAGAGGAGGGAGGGAAAAGTATGGTTGGGATGTAAAATAAATGAAAAAAAAAATTAATAAAAAGAAAGAAAAAAAAAGGCCAGGCAGTGGTGGCATATGCTTTTAAACACAGCACTTGGGAGGCAGAGGCAGGTAGATCTCTGGGAGTTCAAGGTCAGTCTGATCTACACAGCGAGTTCCAGGACAGGTTCCAGGCTTCAAAGCTACACAGAGAAACCCTGTTTAGAAAGAAAGGGAAAAAAAAAAAAAAAAAGAACCCCAGCAGATCACAAAGTGACAGACACATGGGAATGATTCTAGACAGGCCTGGGATATTGACTACATCAACAGAAAAGGGAAGTTGGTCATTGCACACAATATTCCTGCACATAATAAACTGAGGGTTTTTTTTTTAGAAGATAGCAAGTTTCTTCAAAATATAGTATTTTCTAATTATAAAACAAGATGTCATTTTAAAAAACTTTATTTTTGACATGTAGTCATTTAAGTTTTGTTTCCCATTCACACATATATGAACATTTCTATTTTAAAAAATAGAACTATAGAGTATCTGTGATATTTTGGAATTTGTTTTGGTCACTTAAAAATAGGTCATGAGAGGCTCAGTGGCTAAATGCCACATGGCGTTCACAACCATCATCCTCAGGCATGTGTGTGGTATAGAGAATACATGCAAGCAAAAACTCAAACACATAAAATAAACCTAAAAGAAATTTTAGAAGGTTCCATTTTAGTTAGGCATTTTAAGAACAGACTAGTTTCATAGTCTTGGGTGATGTGGGATGTCTCTCTATAAGCTGTGAATATGTTTTATTATCACTGGTTAATAAATAAGCTGATTTGGCCAATGCCAGGCAGAATAGAGCCAGGCAGGAAATCCAAGCAGAGAGATAGGGAGAAAGACGGCAGAGTGAGGGAGATATCAGCAGCCACCAGAGAAGCAAGATGTGAGGTAACAAGCCACAAACCTTGTGGTAAAATGTAGAATAATAGAAATGGGTTAAGTTGTAAGAGCTAGTTAGTAATGAGCCTGAAGAAAAGAAACTTCCAGTGACACTTGGGCATAGGAATAAACACCTGCAGAAAGGAGAACAGAATGGGGGACTGATTCCGGAAAGAATCAGTAGCTAGCTCCAAGTATCGGCTAGCCCACAATTTAGGATTATTAACTTTTAAGTTCTCTAATACATAGTGGTCAGAGTGACCATGTCTGGGAGCCAAGGCTGCTTAGGTAGATAACCCCTATGTACCAGACTCTGTGGGGGACTGTGCTGCCAGCGCCCCAAGTTCCTGCCTGCCCTTAGCAGTAACTGCTGTGAGACTTTGGCCTCCTTCAGAGAAACTGGTTATTTACTATGACAGTTGAGATGGGGTATAATAACCTGATTTTCTCTCCTGAAGCAGGGACGAAACAGTTTTATTAAAAGACAATTTGGGTTTCAAAGCACTAATACATGGTAGAACAGAAAACTTTGAATCCTCTCTGCCTGGCTTTCAGATTCCCACAGGGGAGCCTCCATCTGTTTCATCCGTTCTGTAATTTTCCTCCGGTAAGTTTAGTCCCTGGAAACACCTGGGCCTCCCGGGTCACTTCCCCGCTCCCATTCACTTTCCCAGGCCCGTAGATTTTGATGTTTCTGCCAACCTCATTATGAGGCGAAAGCCATGTTGACTGTCTCTCTCCAGACAAACGTGTATCCAGGGGCACACACCACGCAGAGGCAGATGGTGAGGACTGCATGTTTCACTGGAGTTACTCTTCATGTTAATGTTTAATGTCAAATGCTTGATGTTTAAGATAATTATATATAATGGCATTTATTCCCTCAAAACTTTTCTTAATTAAAAGGACAGTATGAGTCTTTAAGTTTCAAATATTTTACTATTAATTCTCAACCAATTTGTCTTCACTCAAGAAGAATAAGAAACTATGTCTTCAAGAAAGCTCTCTGCATGTTACTATCTGTGAACTGGCCAGGCAGTGAGGACTCTGTGCAAACCACCAAAGACTTACCCTTAAACATATTTGTAATAGATGCCATGGGCATAAACTTGGAGTGAAGGGGAGTATCTCCCTAGGAAAAACACAAGACCCCTGATTTGAATACTACTGTACAGTTTAGAGTCCTAACTCCCCTTTAAACCTCATACACGGTGTATCACAGAATGTCAACTTCTGCCACGATGCCACTTAGCAGAACAGAGTCTCAGCCGCTTGTATTTCTCCACACCACCAAGACAGAACGGAACGGTGCGGCCATTTGCTAGTGAGAAGATGGGATTCCATCCATTTTGGAAAATGAATAGAAAGAAGGATTTTCCTACCTCAGGTCTGGGCAAGGGGTGTGGCCGCACTTTGGCAAAAGAGCCAGACAAGATATAGAGCCAGCAGTTTCCTGGCTTGAACGGTCAGCCCTGCTGAGGTGACTCTGGGTAACAGCAGGAACATGGGTCTGAGAGCAGCGGAGATGCTGCACACATTCAGACAGAACACGGCGTGAAGAGACGGAGACTGGGGACTGCCAGGCTTGAGAATCAGAGAACCCAGTGTCTACCTGGAGGCCTATGGAGCCCTAAGCAGAGTGTTACGATGATGGAGTATTTTTAATTGAATTTTTAGAATACATCTTCAACTTATAAAGATTCCTGGCTGGGCATGGTGGTGGCGTGTGCCTTTAATCCCAGCACTTGGGAGGCAGAGGCAGGGGATCTCTATGAGTTTGAGTCCAGCCTTGGTCCACATTGGGAGTTCCAGGCCAGTCAAGGTTACACAGTGAGAAAATGAGGGAAATTTTTCCTTTAGTTAGGTTCTGCTTCCCTAAATGCCCTCCTGTAATCATGAGAAAGCAAGGACCTCTTTAGCCAAGACAAGCAGGCTGCCTTAGAATTTCCCATAGGGAAAAATGAAACCTGATCGCTCTCTCTTCACCTAGTCTGTGAGCTGAGAACCCCGAGTAGAAAGATGCACAGGACGAGCACAGGGGAGGCTGAGTCCTGAGCCCTGACCCCTCTGCTGAATGCCACTTTGAAAGGAAAGAAGAAATCAAACGGCAGCTTCCAGTCTGTTTGAGGTTGATCCCTTGGTGGTTCTGGCTTCTGAGTAATGTCCACAAAGTTCACAAGAGTTGTCAAAGGTACTTCTATTCCTCTCTGGTGCTCCTACAGGAAGAGAGGCAAGGATAAGTCAATTCTTAGTATATTACACAGAATCTCCACCAGAATTATTTTCTTTGGACTGAAAATAAACATGCTCTAAGCATATACATCTTCTCCTGGAATAGTCCCGTGTAGTTCTCTGTGTGAGATATAAGTAAACACATTTCTAACAGCCCATGGCCCCAGAACTGTGAACAGGTACACCTAAGGATTCAGTCTCAGAGCCTGGCACACACGTCCTTGGAGGGTAGAGACAGGAGGATCAGGTTAAGGGCATCCTTAACTACAGCAAATTGGAGGTCAGTCTGGGCTATAGAAGACCCTATCTCAAAAGAGACTTTCACTGTCTCTAACTAGCGAGGCTGACTGATGGCAGAAAGGCCAGACGGCCAAACCACTGCCATTATACTCTTAGCAGCTCTCCTTTGTGGGCCCGTGAACTGCAGCCCTGAAGCAACACACAGTGGAGGCAGTGAAGACGGCTGAAATTTCAGGGAAAAACAAAACAAAACAAACAAAACCTGACCTCAAATGATCAGATTCACAGATTCTTGGGTGTAAAGGAACTCCCTACCACCCACCAGTTCAAGTCAAGTAGAAGGGACGATCCCAGGAGAAAGTCTGGCTCCTTCTCATTGGTTTCCAAGGCAGAGAAAATACTTCAACCTAGGGACTTAAGGTCATCATACATCTACATCTGATTTCCCAGACGCCCATGAGCCCACGAAGGTAACTGTGACACCTGTGTCTACTCAAAAGTATAGTTTCGAGTGGCATTTTGATGACTAAGAAGCTGCATACAAGAAGCTGTCTGAACAATGTCCTCTGAGCTCACACAGGACACGCACTCAGAGCTCCTTCTTGACTAGACTTTCACGATGTCTTCAAAACAACGCATCCATGAAACGGGTACAGAAATGGCCCTTTCCCCGATTTGGGAAGATGGTCACCTAAGGAAAACGTGGGTGGAGGCAGGGTTTACAAAGGAAATGATGGCCACTTATGAGGAGACAGAAATGCTCATTATTCTCATTGGATCATTACACCGTGATCAAAAGCCCATCCCGTATCCCAGAAACACATATGTTTATTATACTCCAATTAAAAGCAAGAAAGTCTCTGCGGTTGTATGAGGTTAGAGGAAATGCAGTCCAGCAGACTCCCCAGTTAGAGGGATGGAACTGTACTCGTCAGGCACTGAGTACCACCACATGTGGCTGACCCACTGGAGAGTGCAGTTTATTACCACCAGAGAACAAGGATTTTCAGGTATGTTCAACGCATTAAGTTGGGACTTTGAAGTCTAAAGTTATGTCCAGGCAAAAAGCGTCGGGTGTGTGAGCCACTCAAACAATCCCCTCCAACTCTGCTCGCTGTTTCTTTTGTTGGGACGAACAATGACAGGGCCGTGGCAGCACATTTCTCTTCACTGCGGCTCCAGCTCTGCTCTGGGTGGTTGATTTCACGTATTTCCACTTTAATTGGGAATATTTTATGATGTCTGCTTTAGAAATCATTGCCAATACTTCCTGAAGTTTAAGGCTTGCTTCACTTCAATCTAAATACAGCAAAATCCTTTCTTCAATATAAGTTTTAGTAGCCAACAAGGTGAAAGGTTTGGGTTAGGTTTGTTTGGCTTTTCTAACAGGATGTCCACCTTAAGTATTATATTGCATCTTAGTCAATTCTTAAACCACCATGTTCTCCACCCAATCATTACAAATGAAAACTCTTATTAAAAGGCTGGGGATTCCTCTCTGACATTCTGTTTTGCAGCTACACTTAATGTCTATGAACAAGAACAGACATCTTTGGCCAGAATGTAACTCATGACTGAGATACACAAGTTCTTTATCCTACACCAAAGAACACCATTGGGTAATATATTGCGAGTCTTTCCCTTTGGCCTGGTTTTTCTTTCATTTTTTTTTCTTAAATGTCATTCTGTTTGGTTTTAATGTTTTATCTGATGACTAATTTATAAACAATAAAATTGATGTGCATTAGTGTTTAGGTCAGAGTTCTGACTGATAACTGTGTGTAATCCAGCCAAAGCCAAAACAAGAGCCAGAAGGTGTGTCTGAGATAAGTGATCCCGTTTCAGTCTTATCACTGGCCCAGTTAATGGCTCAGGATCAAAACACAGCTGAAATTCTAACTATTATCCGATTCCGTCGGGTGAACTCAATAGCACTGCAGGCAATGTAAACGAACTTGAAAAGCTAACTGCAAACTACCAGAAAAAGACATGGGGTAAGATACATAGGTAAGGAAAGAGGCACTGGGTGGCTGTGATGCCCTAGAGAGTCGGAGACTTTGGAAAAAAACATGCACGGAACCAGTCCTGCGACAACAGAACGCAGGTTACAGGTGAGAAGGATTTATCAGAAGATTCAGTGCAGGCTCTGTGGCAGAAGCAGGTCCATCTAGACAAAGAACAGGAAGCTCTCGGGGAAACGTTCCGATAACCTGAGTGTTAACACCACTGATAGGCAGACAACCAAGCTCCCCAACTCTGCTGCTTGAAAGACTAAAAGTACGTGAAGCCAGACCTAAATGCAGCTCCCAGTTTCTTCTCGGGAAAGTAAATATATTGCAACAAACAGAAATTCCAATGTTGTAATTTTCACTAAAAAATAATATCATGCCAGTTCATACACAAATCATTTCACTTCAGTATTTCTAGATTTAAAAGTTTACGTAGTTTTGAACCTGTAACGCTAAAGATTACACTCTAAAACCAAGGCAGATGGTAAGTGTATCCTATAGTACATTACAAACAGCAGATGTATGTTTACTAGAGATGAAAGAATTTATTTAATGGAGCGTATAGAAGAACTGATAACTACACCAATAACTTTAGTCACAATTAACATTTCCCAAACACCATTAACTGACTGACTGTCACAGTGAACACACAAACACGGAAAATGCTTTCCGTGGTCAGATGAGTAGTAACAGCAGGGTTATTGAAAAGAAATTCACCTATACTGCTAAAATTGGGGGTAGATAATATAGTTGCATCCACTGTGACAAAATATGAATTTTTGTAACCACCTTGGAAAGATAGACTTGAAAAGCATTTTGGGGACTCGCTCTAAAGAAACACTGAGTGGTAATATATCCTGCCTCTCAGAAGCTTAACCATGCTGTGGTCAGCAAAGGGCTGCTAGGAACTTGACTTACCTGTACAGACTTGCATTGGTACAGGAACCGGGCTCCTGCCACATGCGCTTGTGGGTTGGACTGAAGTCCTATATGTGCCCACAACACCTGGATCTCCAGGGAAACTGGTATGAGACAGCAGGAAGAGCCGTTAGCAGCCTGCAGAAGGTAAAGACGCAGGCACTCAGTTGCCATCACTTTTGTTTTCTTAAAGATTTTTATTTATGTGTATGTGTCTCTCTGTGCTTTTGCACATGTGTACAGATGTGCATGGAGGCGAGAGAGGGTGTCAGGTTCCCTGCGGATGGAATTATAGGCAGTTGTGAGCTACCATTGGGTGCTCTTAGCTGCCGAGCCACCTCTCAGTATCTCTTGAGCAGCTACTGTTTTTAAAACTTTATGTAGTAATACAGAAGGCCCACCTGGCTTAGAGGAAGCACAAAACTAGACCGTAGTAATGTTCTTAATCTTACAAAAAGTTGCATCTAAAAGTAATCAACAGGTTGAAGATTCTTCTGAAAGCTAAAGACGAATCTATCAGATGGTCTGGCTACTCTACTCTCGGGTGTACACACTCAATGAAAAGAAAACCATCATGTTAAGGAGATAGTTTGCTGCAGCACTGTTCACAGCAACCAAGACAGGATCTCAACTGAGGTTCCCATCAATGGGCGAAAGGATGAAGAAAATGTAGTATTCATATATTGGAGTAAGATTCATTCATCCGTAAAAGAAAGAACGAAACCTTGTCATTAGCAGTAAAATGGGTGGACATGGAGAACACTACCCTCTGTGAAGTCACACATGGGTACACTGTCACATGAGTGGGAACTGACAATGTTGACCTTAACACAGAAGAGCAGACTTCTACAGTGATTACGGGACACTAGTTAAAGTTGGGGGTGGGGTGCACAGAGAGGAAGGTGGGATGATCAGTACCACAGAACAGCGGGGCAACGGCAGCTTCAAATCACTGGCTGTGCATTTTATGCTGAATTTGAAGGTTTAATTCCCAGCACTAAAGGAAAAAGGAACTTGAAAAAGAGGAACTAACAGACTCTGAAGGTAACAATAAAGAGGAGAAAATGATCAGTAAATATTGCATGAATATACTGAAGGTTTACCCACAGCTCATAAATATATACAGATTATGTTAATTAAAAATAAAACTTCCAAAAAGGCATACAACTAAGAAGAGCACATGTTGCCAAGGAGAAACACTCACTAAGTGAGAGCTACAAAGTGTCTCCTAGGGACCAAGGATATGAAAGGTCGTAGCCTCGAGCAGACAACTTGGAAAGCAGTGACAAGTTAGATAAGACACATCAGGGTTAGATTCGGAAGCCATCCAAACAGTCGGTTTTGAAGGCATCAGGGAGCCACTTACATTTTCAGAACAGAAACATGACATATTTAGAGCAGTACCCTAAGAGAAATAATTTTTTTTTTTTTTTTTTGGTTTTTGGTTTTTTCGAAACAGGGTTTCTCTGTGGTTTTGGAGCCTGTCCTGGAACTAGCTCTGTAGACCAGGCTGGTCTCGAACTCACAGGAGAAATAATTTTAAGATGTAGGAAGATACATCTTCTTTGACTTCATCTTTTAAGCCATTAATACACTTTAGGCAAATGTGAAAAGTGTGATCTTTAATTGGTGGCGCTGAAAACCGAACCCAATTGAGTGAGCTGGCAGGAGTTCTACACTGAGTCACATACCTGTCCTAAAAATCTAACCTGTGGCAATTACAAGAGAATGTGCCTGCTGTCAGCCTCATAAACAAACCTATATTGACCAAGAATTTAAGACTGTCTATAAGGGTAGCTGAAAACATGGCTCAGCAGGTAAAGCTTGCTTGCTGCCAAGCCCGGTAGCTTGAGTTTGACCACCCCCAGGACACACATGGTAGGTGAGGACCACCTCTCCAAGCTGTCCTCTGACTTCCACACATATGCACACACAGGATAAATATAGTGGGAAAATGAATATAAGGGAATATTTGAAATATATGGCATGGCTTTAAACCATAAGCAACCTTCAGTGGTTCTCAACCTTCCTCATGTCGTGCTGACCCCCAACCACCACATTACGTTCGTGGCTACTTCATAACTGTAATTTGCTATGGTTATGAATCGCAATTCAAATACCTGATATGCTGGATGGTTTTACCCTGGGAAAGGGTTGTTCAAACCCCAAAGGGGATGCAACCCACATGTCAAGAACTACTACTCTAGATTAGCAAGTTTCTTTAAAGTCAGGAAAATAGATTAGATGCATGTGCAACCTGCAATAGTGCCCTCAAGCAGTCCTGATTCCTTTCATTCCCCGTTATATGATAAATACAAACAGGAGGGCTGGTTTTTGCCTTGCTGCCCATAAGGTCAAAGGTGGGACATGAGCTGCCAGCCAGCAGTGGCTTCCTTACTGTAACACTGCAGTTCCTGCTGAGGATCCTGGTCCACCCTCCTTTCTGGGCTGGGTCAGCGTTACCAAAGATGGCAACGTGCTCTGGTCTGGGCCTTCCATGAAGAGCCTGATAAATCTCCTCCTGCAAATGGCTGCAGTTCACCTCATTGGGTCTGGAAGTAAACACCATAGAAGCTGGAGTACAATACTACCATGGTAGCGGCCATCTTAGCATTCAAACATTAAAATTAATATTAGGACAGACTGGAGGAAATAACTTAATAGGTACTTCATACCATCAGAAAACACTTGACATACAGCAATAGATACAAAGACTATCATTTTTAAAGTGGTATTTAGAGTGTTAATAGTTACTATATCAACGTTGTCCCTATAAAACAAACAAAATTGTGGGAAGGGCTCTGAAGCAAATAATTACCTGAACTTGCATCCAGATACTGTGTTCACCCCAAACTGTACTTCTTGTCTCTTAACAGAGCAAATTCCACTACCCTCGCTCTGCAACAGGGTCATCTGAGGTGCAAAAGTGACGGTCAAGGTGATTGTAACAGAAATAGGAAGTGGGCAGGGCTGAGAAATTGATGTTTCCCTAAGTGCTATCTGCAATTAAGTTTTTCTAAAAATGATTAGCCATATATATATTACATAAAATATGTGTATGTATATATATTAGCATATGAGTATCTCATTAAAATAAGCAAAAGTCAGTACAACCTCCCTTGCAGTTAGTCTATAAAGCCTTTGGTGGCATCACCATCTGAGAACATAAAACACTTTGGTAAAGAACGTGCTGAATACCAAAGTCCCAGGGAACCTTGAGAACTGAACAAGTCGAAACTTCAGCAGCATTTTTTGTCAGCTGTGACAGTCCACCCAGCTCCAAAAAAGATACCGAGTGACCCAAGTCACCAGTCAGCGCCAAAAGTGGCTTCCCGATGAGGTAGCCAGGATTCCCACTTCTGGGACCAGCAGGAAGAGCAGCCATGTGTTGTCCTAATGCCTGCAGAAGGAAGATGACAATTACTGTGCAAACATTCTTCCCTGCCGGCCTCCTGTCTTCACACCTTCCCTCCCCGCAGGCAATCTAGGAACTGCATTGAGCAGTCTTCTCTCAGCCACACTACAGCCTTATCCCCACTCTTCCCTTTCCGCCCCCTCTAAAGTAAATCTGGACTGATCTGTTCGCTGTTTCGTTTTGGAGAATACTGAGGACTGAACTGAGGGTCCTCTATGTGCTAGGCAATTTGAACTGAAATTCACTACTTACTAATTCTGCCAAGGATTAAGCCAGGGACCTAGTCAGGATCCCTTGACACTACTTCTCACACGTTGATAATGATTTCATGCAATGTCTGGCCTGGCTGAATCCAGGGGAATTTAAATGCATATTTAATTTGAACCAGAAACAGGGCTGTGAGGACACAGGGCTTGGCTGATCACAGACTTGGAAAGAACTCTGCTCGGCTCAAAAGGAGGAAAGAGGTGGGAGAAAGGCAGACGGGTGAGAGCAGTGAAGGCTGCAAACCAGAGATTCAGTGAGGAATAAAATTATGAATGTCTGAAAAAGAGAAAAAAAAAGGAAAGGAATTTCTGTGTGCTGCTGAACTTAAGACTCACGGTGAGCATCTTTAGCGAGTCTGTTTGAATACCACTTTGGTTGGGCCCAAACAGAGCAGCAGAGAAAATGTTACCCACACACACGTATTGAATACCTGCCACTCTAGCCAAATTAAGGAACAGTAAATGTTGAGACCTCACATAAGACCAAAGCAGGCCTTAATATTCTGCTTCTACTTTGCAAGTATTACAGAAAGAGTGCTATTATTTCTTTCTATGAAGTAGAGTGGGAGATTTTATTAACAACATTTTAGTAGGAGAAAGAAAGGTGCTCAGAAAGGCAGACAGACAGACTCATTATGAATCCTGGATCTTCAAAGTGCTATTTCTAAGACTCAGCCCCTAAACCCCCTGTGAGAGAAGGTCACTGACCCTAAAGTGAATGGTGAAGTCTTGTTGTAAGGAAACGCCTGGCCTGACAGTCAGGTTGGTCTGTCGAAAGCTGACAGAGACTTTCTGGATCCCGAAGGTCCCATTGGTCTCTATGTCATAGAGGACCTGAAAAGCAGAAGAGTCAATTAATAAACAAAAATAAATACCGTGTCGAGCACAGAAGCCTCTTCTGTCTGTACTTCAACTACATGCGAGAGACTTAGAGAGTAATCAGAAACACACCAACAATAATAGCATGAAAAGATAAAGATGACTTGATATTGCATTTGCATGTTAGGAAAAGTTCACGGGAGAGGTGTGATTAAGACAAGCGTTTAGAGTGGGCGAAGACGGACAGGTAAGGTACTGGGCAAAGGTAAGCACGGAATGGAAACGTGGGTTATTAGAGCCTCGCAGTGTCAGAAGGGAAATAAGAATAGCAGCTGGGGACAGAAGGGAACACAGTCCTTAAAAATGCTACTTTCAGATAAGTTTTACTCCTTTACCCGTTTCACTGACTATAAGAGACCACTAAAGCTGACTCCTCTCAGACTCGGGGATGATACTGTGGTGGTGGACGGAAATATTAAAAGTCAGTAAGAGCCGGCACAAGACTGTGTGTGCGATGTAAGAGGATGAACCTACAACACTGGACGACAGTAGCGACGGCCATGACGGAAACATGGCGGGAAGGAGGTGATGGGGTTCAGTGAGTCGGTCCCCACCCTCTTGTGGGAAGATGAGGTCCCTCTGGTGACACTGACCAACAGGCACCATTTAGAATCCATACCTGGGAAACTATATTCTGACACGTGTTTCCAGCCAGCAGAGGAGGACTGATTTCTGAGGCAAGTGTTACCGGAACCTGGAGCTGACAAGAGAAACTGAAAGTGGCCTTTTCTCCTCTGGCTCTATATCATGCTAAAATGAATACATTCTCTCCCCTCGACCATTCAGATTTTCTCTCCTTCCAGTGCTGGACGACTTAAATCCGAGTCATTCTCAATCAGCACATCCCAACACAAGCTTCCTGGGACACCAGTCCTAGTACACATGAAACAAGGGCCCACAGCCAATCAGATGTAAAGAATTCTGTACTCCACCTCCAGACACTGACAGTGCCTGACAGTACATGAGAAGACTGAAACGCCCACTCCAAATGTAGCATTTTAGTTAGATTTAACTCAGGCGTTCTCTAGACTTATCAACATCTCATTGATCTTTATCCCATGAAGTTATGTCTAGAGCTAGGCTTGACTGCGGTTCAAAGTGCCTACATTCTCTTTCATTATTATAATCTGGAATGAATTGGCCTCGGATACACAGAGGCCAGATGTTCTTTTTTCCTGATAAATGACATCATACCTGTGCATTCTGAAGGTCAGTCATTCCTCTTGGGACCTAGGAAACGTGAAGAACGGAGACATAAGCTTACGCCTTTCATAAAACCACCAGGAGTTTCCACTTCACCTGACCCCACCCAGACTTTGGTGGGGGAGGGGAAGAAGATCAAAACACTGGAGTGGCCTCTCCTCTGCCATCTGGCTCTCCAGAGAGTGGGGGCTGGAGGCCAGGCTGGGCTGCAATGCCTACCTACCCAGGCAGAGTTCCAAAAGCAAGAACAACTTTGGTGAAAACCGGGAACTGTCACCCACTCCTTCACTCTCTCAAGTAAACCCATTAGCCAGGAAGGTGACAAGGTGACCTTGGATCTACTGCCTCTGATTCTTCCATCTTTCTTTAGACAATAGTTTCCATACCCTCTATCATATATGTAGATCTTAGGAGTTATGACTTCCAGCTTAGGGATTTTCTAACCCATGTTGTGGGTAACATGTGAACGTCACGATGAAGCTGAGTGATTTGAGGGAGGAGGGTCTGTGGAGTGGGGACAAAGGAACACCTACCTTCAAGACCATGAAGTTATAGTAAGTGGCAGCATCCAGGGCTGGCTCCGAGGTGCAGCTACTGGCCAGGTCCCTGAAGAAACGGGTGCATGTTGTGCTTTTACTCTCTAGGAAGCCTTGCAACAAAAACAATAAAGACAGGGGTAAGTGGCACGTGAGAAAGCCTGTTTCCAAAAAAGCAAAAGACTGGTGGACTCCTGTCCCAGACCCACCTGCAGGACTGCTCTCAGTACAAAGTCCGCCAGCTCCCACTGCTGCAGGCTGCCTCAGCGAACTCACTACAGACCAGCTGGGGTAGTAAATCAGGATGGGATCCCCAGCCTGAATAAATAAACATAGGACAGACTCAGTCACAGTAAGGAAACAAGTTAGCTTGATGGAGCTGACAATGGCTAATCTCATTGTAGAAGGAAATTACAAAGTTACACTGCCAACTGTACTCTGTCAGGAGAACCAGACTGTTCTGCCCCTTTACCTAGGCTCACCCTGTAAAACGGTGACGGTGGCTGGGTTTCCGATGTCGAAGCAAGGGACTGGCCTCCGAACTCTGCAGCGAGGGCCTCAAAGTTGGTTGCATTGACTGTTTGGAGCTTCTGGAAATAGTTTAATTTTGCTAAAATAATTTTTAAAAAGAACGGATACTTAGATAAAAGCATTTCTTTTTAAGTATCTGACATAATAAACAACATTTGAAGCACAACAAACACACATCACATGCAAATGAACATCAAGAGTTTAAGAAAGGTCTACAAGCATGTGTGTGCCCACCCTATCCACAACACAAAGTAAATTAATGTAATTTTAACAAAACAAAGTGCTTCTCAGACACAGGTGCACTGACACCTGGTCTGTGCACCACCTTCTAGCACAGATGTGCTGACACCTGGTCTGTGCGCCACCTCCTAGCACAGATGTGCTGACACCTGGTCTGTGCACCAACTCCTAGTACAGGTGTGCTGACACCTGGTCTGTGCACCACCTTCATGCATGCCCTGCGTCTCTAGGAGCTGAGGCTGCCAGCTCTGCAGCTTCCAGGAACAGGTTAACATTTCCTCCAGAAACTGCACAGAAAGGCTGTTTACTTCATAGCAAGTCCAGCTATTGCTGCCTTTGTAAGAAAAAGTTAAAGTGAAGTGGGGAGAGAAGATTAGGTCAGACAGCCAATATCCATCAATTCTTCCTGTTGCTTTTATCAGTAAGAGCAAGTTACCGCTTGCCCCTCACTTCAGTACAGGTGTATCGGTGGAAGTGGTGATAAGGAGATGACACAGGTAAGACATACAAGCTAAGGCTATATTACATGTATGTGTCCACCTTGCACACGATACATAGAAGCTAAGGCTATATTACATGTATGTGTCCACCTTGCACACGATACATAGAAGCTAAGGCTATATTACATGTATGTGTCCACCTTGCACACGATACATACAAGCTAAGGCTATATTACATGTATGTGTCCACCTTGCACACGATACATACAAGCTAAGGCTATATTACATGTATATGTCCACCTTGCACACGATACATAGAAGCTAAGGCTATATTACATGTATATGTCCACCTTGCACACGATACATACAAGCTAAGGCTATATTACATATATATGTCCACCTTGCACACGATACCAACACCCAACAGTTTAAAGGTAGACTCTGATATAACTGTGAATTCAAAAAGAAGCCTGGAGACCATCTCATCAAATCCCACTAGAAAATTTGGATCCTCAGAGACAAATGAATTGCAAGAGCCAAACCAGGAGTAGAACACCAATCTCCCAGTTCCTGGTCTGCAGTTTTCCAAACCCACATGAAGTAGAGACCCTGGTGAGACTAGCCTTCACTGATCATTACCAGGAGGTATTATCTCTTATGAATAAATAAAGATATGGATTTTTTCCAACTTGGACAAGTGACAGAAGAGTCTTAGGAGAGCTAAGGTTTTCAAAATGCAAGGAAAAATAGGACCACATGAGTCACGGAGAAAAGTAAAAGTCAAGGCATACCTTGAGGACAACGAACAGTAGGCTGGCCAAAATAAAAGATCAGTGTACAATCATCAAAGAAAAGCTTGGACAGAAAAAAGAGATAGCTCAGACCGCCAGACTAATGGAGCTGGGCAGTGTTCTCAAGGTAAAGGAGAATCACCGGAGGTTTCTGAAATTATTAATGTCCCCTACCAACTGAAAGGAAGGGGGGTAGTGGTAAGGGGCGGAGACGGTAAGAGATGGGGATTCAAAGCATGAAACAGACAGGGCAAGTCCAAAGACAAAGCCACGTCTTAAATGACAAGAACAGCCAAACTTATTTCTACTCACAGTTGTTCACACGGACACAAAACTGTGCAATTCCACTGGAATCCGTGAGAACTCTGGAAGGAAATGGGGAGTTGCTCCTGAAGATAAGAGAGTGGTCGACACATACCCAGCTGGAGGATCTGTAAGCAAAGATGAAGATACTGAGGAGTGGCAAGGGGAGGCTTTGGAGAGGAGCCCCTCGGATGTCTAAAGGCTCAGCTCTATAGAAACGGGAAGATCACTCCCAGGAAAACCCAAGGGAACATCCTAGGGGAGGAAATAGGGGTAGGAGGCTCACTCTTACGTCTAGACCCCAAGAGCACGGCCGCTCACCTTACACTACCAGGAAGGCAGAAGGAAAAGACTGTCCTGGGATGGAGAAGATCGCAGTCCTTGTCACAGCAGCAGTTTAAATCGCAAGTATCAGGAGTCAAGTCACAAATACAGATCGGCAAGGCTATAAGTGCAAGTTAAAACAAAGTGAGATTAAGTTCCCCAAAGTTTTCCCGCGCGAACAGCCTCTACAGAATTTAGTTCTGGGAGCAGTATTTCCATCCCATATCCCGCCGCATCACCTGGGAAGGAGTCTGAAGTTGCGTTCTCGGGCACCGATGGGGTCCCAGGAGTAGGGTCCTCAGACCAGTCCGGAGTAGCTGCAGTCGCCACTTCGGGCGTCACTGGCCCCAGGGCCGAGGAGGTGGGCAGAGCCTGGGCTGGGGAGGAGGGCTGAGGTCTGGCTGCATCAGGAAGCATCAGGACCACCACCGTCAGCAGGAGCAGCTGCGGAGTACACATAGGGCAGCCGGGCTGCAGAGGGGTGCGACAGGACCCTAGATCGCCAGATGCGTCCTAGGAGCACAGGGAGGAGGAGTCCCATGACGCCATCAGCTTCTATCTGCACATTGGCTCAGTCGGTTGTTGAGTGCCCTTCAGCCAATGGAAGGCCGTGTTGTTGAGACCCTGCGTATCCTAGTGCTGTGCCCGCCTCCTTAGCGGCGCGTGGCTCCCGTCACCTGGCAACCGCTGGACACCATCCCGGCGCAGGCGCCCTTGCCCCTTCCCGCCGCTAGGTGGCGGCTGGTGTCATGTCGGTGCCCTATGCGGACCTGGAGGAGTCGAGTGTAGTTACCTCTGAAAAGAAGACCCAGAGGCAGGCACTGGAATTACAAGGCTCTTTTGATCCAGTTTCCCAAGGTAAGAAGAGGCACTTTCTGTGGAAGGGCCATGATGTAAGAAAGAAAAACACTTCGGAAGTCACATCCTTTAAACATGCCGGGAAACCGAGTGCCGGATCATGCTCGTTACTCTCGAGACTCAAGCAGGATGACGAGTTTTATTTAGGTCAGCCTGGGCTACAGAGTGAGATGGTGATCCTTAATACAAAAACAAAGTACCATGATAGGGGCTGGAGAGATGGCTCAGCTGCTAAGGACATTTGTTCTTTCAGAGGACTGGGGTTCACTTCCCAGCTCCCCGAGTGTGTCTTACAACCGGCCGTAACTCCAGTTCCAGGGGATCCTTTGGCTGTGCCATCTTCTGGCCTCAGTAGGCATCACACACCCACAGTGCACAGATGCATGCAGGCATAACATCTAGAAGAAAAATTTAAAGTATCGCCACTGTAATTTATGGTATTTTTTTAAAGGCACAATAAAAGCAATGCTTATTCAACGCCATGAATTTCATTTCTTTCCCTTTTTTTTTTTTTGAGTCATAGTTTCATGTAGCCCAGGCTGACCCTCAAACTCAAGATGTCCCTGAGTTTCTCATCCTCCTGGGTTGCTGGAATTACAGTCCTAGATGCCACCACCACATTCTGGAGGGCAAACTCAAGGCTGTGGCTTCATGCATACCGGGCAAACAATCTACCAACGTCAATTTTATTACTGAAATAATAATAATAATAATAACCCTTTAGTAAGTACATCGTGTCTGTGCAGGTGACCTATGTGTTTGTTGCTGGAAGGGGTACTGAGAGGAGAAGTTGGGTATGAGTAACAGGTTGGGGAAGAATGTGAGGAGCTGAGGAAGTCGAAATTTAGTAATACGTTCTGAGGAGAGAGTAAAGAAAGATACAGAAATGGAAGCAGCCAAGGAGCTGAGGAGAACGCTTATTTCTTTTTTACCATTTTAAATACAAGATTTTGCGACACTCTCAAGAGTGCTTTTGCTTTTCTCTGGAGTGGAGCTGACTGTCCAGAGAGCAGAAGCAGTCCGTGTTAGTGCTAATCTGATCGACCCAGGCATGTATGGCCACTGCTCACGTGTTGAGCACCGAGTATGCTCGAGCTGCTAAATATTTAATTTTTAAAATTGTAATTAATCCAAAGTTAAATAACTTCAGTTGACTACTAGCTATTTAATTGAGCAGTTGGATTATATATGATCAAAACCTACCTGCCAGACGTTGTCTCCCTATCATCACAATTCCAACATCTGGATTATTTTCATTGTTGGTTTGGTGAAATAAAGTAAGTTACCTGGCTAAACTCTAGTCCACTTCCTTAAAACTGACTTTTGATACCTCTCTTTTCCAGTGAATTTCCTGGGCAGATAAGATTTGGGACACTTGAAATTGCTCATATTTCCCAGGAAGATCTTAATTTTTGTAATACCTTGAAATTCATAGCTAAATATTTATTTATGCTCTAAATATTCTCAAAATTTTTATGTCATTGAGTGCTAAACAAGGAAATAAATAAATATGTTTATGTGGTGTTTGACCTTAATACACTTATTGGTTGTATTAGCAATTTCCATAGTTTACTTTTTATATTAATTTTTTCTTTATGTGTAAGTCTCTCTCTCTCTCTCTCTCTCTCTCTCTCTCTCTCTCTCTCTCTGTGCCTCATGTGTGTCGAACCTGTGAAGGACAAAAGAGGGGGTAAGATTCCTAGGGAGCTGGAGTCACAGGAGGTTGTGAGCCTCCTGGTGTGGATGATGGGAACTGACTGCTGGTACCCTGGAGGAGCAGAAAGCAGTCTTCCACACTGAACCATCTCTCTAGTTCACATTCCGTAGTTTTTCAAAGACCCATTGCCTAGTCATGCCAGCCATGTTCACATATGGGCATTTAAGATGTACATTGATTGGACTGTTTTGTTGAACTCCTTCAATTTAGTTCTTGGGTGATTATTTTATAAACTCTGCTTTATATCGGATCATAAAATCTTTTAGATCTCAAAGTGGAGAATTCACATTTCCACTCAGCCTTATTTCTGAACGATTGTTGGGAAACTCGTCTGATTGAAGTAATCTCAGGGTTGACTGATAAGGGAGTGCTGTTTGGCAACATTTTGGTTGCTTTTTCTTATCTTCAAGTTTCAGCACTTCAGTACTGGGTTCAGCTCAGTGGCAGAGTGCTTGCCTACTGCGTTGCAGGCCCTGCACCCTGGCCCCAGCACTGAGGGTGGGGCAGTTTAGGTCTCCATCCAATTTTTCTGTAATTTGTCGAGAGCTGGGAAAGATGGAAGATGAGAGTTAGAATTTGTTCCTGCTCTTCCATCTTGATCCAATCTGCTATGTTTTTCAACCACTATTGCACGCTTTTCCTCTCAAACAGAGACAGTTTGCTGAAATCATATGATCTAATTTGGAAACATCTTCTTCTAAAGTGATGTCATATTATCTCATCCAAAGACTTGGCTCTGTCTTAAAATTGGCATCTGCTTGGCACATGAAAACAAACTTCATCCTCCTCAAAATCATCTTTTAGATTTTATTTATTTATTGGTTTTGTGAGACTGGGTTTCTCTGTGTAACAACCCTAGATATCCTGGAACTAGCTCTTGTAGACCAGGCTGGCTTCAAACTCACAGAGATCCCCCTGACTCTGCCTCCCAAGTGCTGGGACTAAAGGTGTGTGCCACCACCACCTGGCTAGATTTTACTATTAGATCTCCAAAGAAATGGATTTCTTTTTGTTCATTTGTTTCTTTTTCGAGACAGGGTTTCTCTGTAACAGTTCTAGCTGCCCTGGAACTCACTCTGTAGACCAGGCTGGCCTTGAACTCACAGAGATCCACCTGCCTCTGCCTTCTGAGTGCTGGGATTAAAGGCGTGCGCCACCACCGCCCAGCAAGAATTGAGATTTTTGTGGTACAGCTTCCATCAAACAAAGTAGGAAGAATTTAGGCAAATTTTTGGCGAACTGTTAGAACTGGGAACGAATTCTCTCCTCTGTTGTAAATCGAAACATCACAGCAAAGGTTGCCGAGTGCACAGACTCATGCGCAGAAATGAACACACCTTGAAACTGAAAAACAAGAAAAGGAGACGAGATTACGAGCAGACAGCTGCGAGCTGCCCACCTGCTGTAGCTTTTGATGTTGTGGAACCTCAGTATGCGAGGCAGTCTCTCATCTCCTACCTCTTGTGAAGTTTTCGATCTTCTGCTATGTTTTTTTTTTTTTCTTGTTTTGGGAGAAACCTTATCAACAAAAGAGATGGCTAGCAATGTTACCAACAGGACGGCCCCTCGATCCATGACATCCCCAGTATTCATTGGGAATCTCAGCACTCTGTGGTCAGGAAGTCTGGTGTGGAGACAATCTCTTCAAAGTACGGCAAAGCTATGGGGTCGCTCTGCCTTTGTCAAGTATGCTAATGAGAAAGAGGCCTGGGCTGCCCTAGCCACAGAGGATGACAGAGTGATTGCTGGCCAGAGTTTAGATGTTGGTTAGTCTGGCTGCAGAACAGAGAGGGAACTGAGGAAGAGTAGGCGTGGAACCATCAGCAGCAGGAAGGTATGGTTCCTTGTTTGACTTGGACTCTGACTCCCACGGAATTATCATGACAGGATGGATGTGCAGTTACCCATCCCATCCCCATTGGAGATGAGGAATGGTCTAGAGAAGGGCTGTCTCTCTGTGAGCCGCCTGTCTGTGAGGAAAGATGGAGTCTGAGGCAGATAGAAATGGCTCTGCTGAGCAGGTGGCCGGCTGGAAGATGTGGGGAGGGTGTGACAAGCTGGAGTTGATCAAGGTGATGAGGAAGAGGCTGAGGAAGGAGAGGATGACTCTTAAGCACAGGGTGCAATTTAGGAGTCGTACCCTGTTATTCTGTTACCTAGGTGCCTGTGAGAGACTGAACTAACAACAGCTCCTCTCCCCTGATCTTCAGCAATCCCCATTGCCCTCGCTCTCGCTCATAATTGACCTACACCTAGTTCCACTTCCTCTGATGCTTCTTGGTAGTTCTGTTAGGTCTTTTCACTTTACATTTTGGTACTTCTTCGGTTTCACAAGAAGGTTTTTCGTTTTTAATCACAAAACCCAAAACCATGAAAAGGTGTTCTCAATGATTGTATATGATATGTGTGTGTGTGTGTGTGTGTGTGTGAAATACTTTTACCTAAACTATATGAAGAACCCATAGGAAAGTAACAAAAATTGGCCAAGGCTTGAGCAAGCCCTTTATGAAAGAGGATGTCTACTCTAATTTGGATCTGAAGTCTCAGAGGACCAGCCTCAGGGGCTGTTGTGTGATGACAGAACCTTCTAGAAGTGGGGCGTGGCAGGAGGAAGTTTCCTGGGTGCCATGAGGTGAGTACCTTCTTCTTGCCTTGCCCTTCCCTCGTCACACTCTGCCTCACCCAGGCACAGAGCCTGTGGGGCCGGATGACCATGGGATAAAACCTCTAGTCTAGCCCTTTCCCTCCTGAAAGCTGTTGTGTCCTGCATCTTAGCACAGCGCTGGAAAGCCGCCTAACACGCCATCCAAATGACTAATAAACAAAAGAGCAGAAACATTGTTGATGAAGAAGACCAGAATAAAGACACCAATAAAATACCATAACCCTCAGAAGAGCAAAAGATAGGAAAAACCAGCTAATACAAAGTTTCAGTGAGGGCGCAGGATTACCAGATTT